AATTATTTTAATTTTGTGAATTTCCATTTTTCTTTTTAAGTGTCGTTTATATTATTTTACTATTAATTTTTATTAATTTTTTGTGTGAATTAAACACGTTTTTTAAATGAATAAAAAATATGAGTTTTCACAAAAAGTGAACTTAGCAACTTGTTCCTCTAAGCTAGCATAGTTACATGTTTGAAGCGAATTACAATAAATTCTTCAATCGTCGACAGAGGTTTGCGCCCATGAAATAATAAAGAATCTTTAAAACGACGTTCGCATTTATTTCACTATCATTTTTATTAAATATACAAATAATCTGCTTGTAGTACAATACAAATCTTCAATCGTCTCCACCCTTGTTTCCCATTTTTACCACTTCTAACGATGTTTTTTTACTCTTTACTTAATTTGTATACAATAATTTGTAGGTTTGTGTTGTTGTTCTTAAAATTACTACAGTATTATTTAAAATATTATTTTTATGTATTTAATTTTAATTTTATTTTTTTATTTATTTTTATTTTTATTTTTAATAATTTGCTTCTCATAAAACTAATGTTTCTTTACGTACTTTAAATACATACATACATATGTATGGTGTTTTTGTTTCAATATAATCATCTCTCTGGTGACTCTTTATATAAAATTGCTTATAAGTTACAAGAAAAATCGGTAAAAACAAAAACATTTTATTTTTTTATTATGTATGAATCATGATTGTTGTTATGTATAATTTTTTTTTTATCAACAAGAACAATAATTATTTATGTATGTATATTGTGGGTATGCAAATTTTATTTTGAATAGCATTAAAATCATAAGCAATCGAGCATACACAAATAAACAAATCGCAGTGAGGAAATGAACGAAATGTTCACCGAAAGACACGAAGCAATGAAAAATAATAATTATTATTTAGCCTGCTGATGAGTAGATCTGTACAACTACGTAAGATAGTTTTTTATTAGATTCTTATTGGTTTCTTTTTTTTTTTCTTTTGAGGTGTTAGCTTAAACTACGTTCGTACGGGCTAGACTAATAGGCTAATAGGGTTTGTAAATAGAGTACAAATAGTAGGTAGATAGGAAAAAAGGAGATTTCTAGCTTCTTTACTCTGCAAATCTTTTAGCTGTTTGTTTCTTTAAGAAATCATAACAGCGCTTAAATATATAATAAAAAATAAAAAACGTGGCATTAAAAAGATGCACTCACCATTTAAATACAAGGGGTGTTATTTATTCAGTTGGTCATTTGTGTAAGGAATGGGATGAATAAATATAAATACATATGTATTTGTTATTTTAGATATGTGTTTGCTTTTAGATTGTTAAACGGTAGGTTAGTGTGCATTTGGAATAAATAAATAATTTGTTAGTCAGTGTAGTGGGATTCTGAAATTTACTATCGCAAAGCCTTCATCGTCAAAATTTCTTAAATGTGTAAAGTACATACATACATACATATATACAAAAAGTAATAATCATTCGAGTATTGTGGTACGCTGCTAAGATTCAATAATGGAGCTTTAAAATTGCAGATTTTTTAAGAAAATTTGAGATAATTATGGAAAATACTCGTACATATGCGTAATGGTAGTTAATAATTTAGCATAATCAATAAACTACATAGGTACATACTACATACATATGTACATATTTGGTAATGCATATGATAGATGTGACAGATGTGTTCGGTGCATAGTGTGACCATTCGTTTTGTTTAAAATGGAATTTCAATTTTTCTTAGAAAGTATTTATTTAAGCATTTTTAATATACAAAAAAACAAAGGTAACATGAGCAGTAACATAATATGAAGTAAATCTGAGAAATCAGGTATAAAAGTTGTAACTCCACGTCAAATCTTTTTGTTCGGTATTCAAAATTCCGTAACAGCTCAAATGCTATTTTTGATAGTACCAAATTTTGGGGTTTCAAAACTTTTCTCAAAAGCATTATAAAAAAGTGATATGGAGCTAAAATTTTTATATTTATGTAATTTAAGCGTTTGAATGTGATAGGTATATTGATGCGGTTTAAGACCGAGTAAGCAATTAAAACAATAGCATGGGTTTTTATTTAAAGTAGGACAAAAATTCACAAGACAATAATAATAATTCGAATTCAAATTGAACGAGAAATTCTTTTTTAGATGTGGACTATTGAACGATAGTTTTAAACAAACAATTGGTATAATTTGCGTCGAAAACTTTACGCACCGTTCAACCGTGCAGGTCTAAAATAATAAATGAAAATGAAATACAAGTAATCAGGCATATTCTACAACTCACTTTCGAGTGAATTTTAACCAAATCACTTTGAATCATGTTGAAAGGGCTTGAAATTCACTTTGAAGTGAATCGCAGAACCTGCCCGAATATCTAATTTTGATAAACTCTCAAAAGGAGGAGTAACATATAGAAAGTTTGTTCGGATTATCGCAAACAGATTAGGATTGTAGTTTATATTTTAATAATAAATCTTTAAATGCAAATTATGAAAAACATATTGTTACGCAAAAAATATCTACATATCGACTGCTGAGTGAAAAATCGACCTATCTCGGCAGCCAGTTCGAAAATGCGCTATCTCAAGAAACGTTTCAAGAACGCCCTATTTCAGAATTTTATTGAAAAACACCCTATCTCAAAATTCGGTTCAAAAATGCCCTATCTTACTTCAAAATGTATTGAAAATGTGCTGATAGAGCCGTTTTTGAATCGGCAGCTGAGATAGGGCATTTTTGAAACGAATTCTGAAATAGGGCGTTCTTGAAAAGTTTCTTGAGATAGGGCGTTTTCGAATCTTCCACTCAGCAGTCGATATATGGATTGCTTCCCATGAAAATGCCTATAATTTGCTGCCATTATAAGCTTTTCACTGTAAAATTTATAAATCTCGAAAACGTTACAGTCAAGAAAAAAAATGGTTGTGAGTCGAATTAAAAGTAGGATCTGAATAATGCATAATGAAATTATTCAGCCTTATCGTGAGTTTCATTTTCTCCGAACCGGTTCACTTTTTACTTTTCGTTTCCATGTATTTACTATGGGCGGATGAAACATTTTCGGGTGAATTTTTTTCGGGCGAAACTTAGGATGAGGCAGAATAAATGCTTAATGTGTGATGGGCAAGGCTAAACTTTTCATATTTTTGGTCACGCCATTTATTTAATTTGAGATGAAACGTTCAATTTCGATTAATGCGGAAAATGTTATAAATATAGATCATTGTATAGTTCCATACGTAACATAAGTCTTCTTCTTGTCGTTTTTTCTAGCAGGCTGTAGGTATGTTTTTGGTTAGTGGATTGGTGTTTTTCGTTCAGTGTTAGTGTATTTCGAATAAATTGTAATAGAAATCAAAGAAATTGTAAAAGATTTTAGTTAGAACAAAAGATATAGAGCCTATTTAAAATATATCGAATAAAATGTAAAATTTGAAAAACTTGCGAGACTAAACTAGCATTAAAGAGGAAATAAGATGCAGGTAATGAAGAATTGTTAAAGAAATTAATAATGAAACCAGTTAGTTAACGGTTTGAAATTAAAATTTTTTTCTTAGCTTATTTAGGCTAAACACATAGTGGAGCGGCAAGCAAAGTGATGAGCATAGCATCGAGCAAAGCGTCAATTACAAACGTGTAAGTACGCTTTGCTCTTCACTATGTGAGCTCCCATTGAAACAAATACATTTGTAATCGATTCATTGCTCGGTGTTCTTTGCTCGCCCCTCCACTACGCGTTTAGCCTTAGTTGCATCAATGATATAAACAGTGTATAAAACTATATATTTATGTAAGCACATGCACATGTGCATATGTATGTATGTATGTTTACAACCCCCTTGGTTTGAAATCTTACTTCGAGAGGAGTTTAACGTCACATAAATTTATGCAATAGCTGCGCCTTGAAAAAGGAATCGAAATCGAGTTTCCTTCATAACCTGATTTATTTCTCCTTCCGGATTTAATTTGTACACTGAGTGGAGTAAAAAGTAATTGCGTATGTTATGGCAAAAAAAAAGGCATTTGTCAAGTCAAATACACGTTACACGAGACGAAGATGACAGAAACATTGAAAATTAGTCTCCCCATAAGCTTGATATTTGAATTTCAAGGAAGTGCGTGTAGAAAACAAACTTTTTTTTTTAAGAATGATAACTGGTGTTAATCTGCAGATTGTTTACAACAATGTGGAATGCAAACGGTATTTGCCCTCACGTGACGATTCCCACAAACCACTTCAAAAGCAAAACGTCATAAAAAAAGACCTTGTCAATCTTAAATTAGTAATGCTCCAATTAGTAATGATTCATCGAAAACATCAATATTTTGCTTCGATGCATCGAAATTTTTCCACTTGATGTATGTATAAGTAGCCGCTCTATCGATGCATCGATGTTTATTGAAAACTGATCTCTGGTGCATTGAACAGCAAGTTTCAGTTTTTCAATTGAACAAAAATGAGAAGAGACTTTGACCAAAAATTTAAATGGAATCAAAAAGTTCCATTAAAAATAATTAGCTCAGTTGCAGTAATTAATTTTGAATTTTGTACAATTTTGGTAATTAATTTTTTTTTTTTTTTTTTGAAAATTATCTGAACAAATTGATGTATCTTAAATATCGATGTACACTTCGACGCATCGAATCAAAGAAATACATCGATGTATTTTTGCCACTGACATTCCTAATCTAAAGGACTATGAAAAACATACAAAAATACGCAATGTTTTTTACTGCTCCCATTATATCCATTCAAGATGTTGACCTAAACCATTCCCTCTGAAGAGTAAACTCAACTATTTCGATATCCCCGCAATTAAATTCATTAGTTACCATAGAATTAAAAATATTAGTAAAAGATCTATAATGCCCAAACCCGACCAATCTGGTCATACGTAAAAAATGTGAAGAGAAAATATTTTGTCTCTTTTACAGCGCAGGCAGGATTCCTCCCGAAGTAGGCTTTCAAGCTAAGGGGCGTAATTGCCAAACTCTTATCCCAGGTCTGTTGTGCATACACAAATTTAGTTTTCACTTAATCTTCAATCAAACGAACTTGCACACTTTTTCAAAGCTTGTGTACTTACATACATATTTGTGTATGTTTTTTCATTCTATGTACTTCAAATACTATATACATATGTACATACATACATACGTAAATATCCTTGATAAGATCCATTCAATGGCAAACTTTAAAATGCCATCATATTAATTTGCCTGCTTACTGTACAATGGTCCTGTTTTGCAGCTGATCAGATGTATGATATAACTCATCGGTTGAGGATCAAGCGCTCGCGAGCTTTTTAAAAATGTATGGATGTACTTATATGTTTGTAATAATGTGTAGTTAAAGCCTATTTATATATCTTTAAATTTTTCTTTGATATTTACACGATTTTTATAAGCTATAATTTGTGATATATGTATGTATTTTTTTGCATAACTTATGCAATACGCATTTTAATATATGTATGTATGTGTATGCTTGCGTTTCTCATTCCTTCTTTATGTGTTCGCATGTACGATGCTGGTCCTTAAAGGCGTTTAAGTTCGAAGACCTGATTTCGAACTAATATGTGTTAGGGGAAAAAATTATTTATCGTCAATTATTTACAAACCTATTCGTAACCTGTTTTTAAACGAAAAAAAGTATATGCTTTCCAAAGAGAAAACACATTTTGCAAAATATGCTAATTTTAAAACTCGCTACCGCTTTCTTTGCGCGTCTTATATGCAGGCTGTATAATCCTAGCTACTATTATATTTATAAGGTTATGTTTATATATATCTATGTTTTATTTTTATTTTTTCTTCTTATATGTAATAACATCTGTTGCTTTTTGCAACTCCTAACTTACGCTTAGAAGAAATGTCCGCCTCCCTTAGTTGCGGTTGATGCAAATGTAGCTGGCGCTCGATTAACTTCTTCTAACGCTGTACCTACTTCACCTAGTTCACCTTCTCCAGCGCCCGCAGCAACTTTGGCTGTTGCAGCTAGTGGCGTTGTTGCGGGTGGAGTTGCGCCAAGCGCGGTTACTGCATGCCACCAAGCGTGTGATGATGTCGACGGTTGTTGATGATGCTGAAAGTGATGATGCTGCAGTTGTTGTGCATGTAAGTGCACCTCCCCGCCTTTATTATTGTGATAATGTCTGAACGATGGCGGTGGCAGTTGTTGGTATGGGTGGTGCCGTTTCGATACAGCGTAAGAACTTATGCCACTGCTGTTTGTGTTGCAGTTCTGTTGTTGCTCACCTCCAATTATTCCCACACTCATCGCTACGCCCTACTTTAGATGTCATTCATTTTTCACTGGATAGTAAACCAGATCCGGTTGTTGTGGGTGTTGTGACTGCAAATGTTGTTGTTGTTGTATGTGATGCATGTAATCACTGATTGGCGGTAATACAGTTTTTTGTTCTTCCCCACCGCCACCGCTACCGGGACCACTGCCCATCAGCATCGTAGGATACCCACCACCACTAACGCCGCGATCGTATATGCTCGCATGCGGCGGCGGCGGCGGCAACAAATGCGGTGCAAGCGGATGATGTGCAGTCGGCGCAAGTGGATGGTGTCCACTTAGCGAATGGGAAGATGCATGTGGGTGATATGGTTGAAAACTATTCTTTTGTTGTTGCTCTGACAACTCCACTAGACTCGGGTGATGAGAAGGCAGGTGATGGTGATGATGCGCAGCCACAGCAGCGGCAGCGCTAGTGTCATATAGAGAAGCGCCACTTGGAGACCCATATATGCTAGTGTGGCGCATTAAGCTAGCTGCCCCATAATTGCCTGCGGCCGCTGCAGCTGCTGCGCTATGGTGTTGCTGATGCTGATGTGGGTGCGAATGGTGCTGTTGATGAGCGGAGTGCGGATGTTGTGGTTGTTGTGGCTGTTGCTGTTGTTGTTGCTGCTGTTGCTGCTGCTGATGGGCTGAAAGTGGGCTTTGCTGATGTTGTTGTGGTTGCGATTGTGAAACGCCCATTTGTGCAGCGCCCGGCTGCATTAAATCAAAGTTGTATTCCATTGAAGTTGGATTGGTATCAATGAGATTCGTGAGTATGCTGCCAATATTATTGTAGTTATGTGGATCGGTGGAGCCAACACTTGCAGCACTAATGGCGCCAGCTTGTCCACTTTGTGCGCTGTTTTGGGCTTGCTGTTGTTGTTGCTGCTGCTGTTGTTGTTGTTGTTGTTGCTGCTGTTGCTGTTGCGTACTGCTTCCGAACATCATTTGCGACGTAGTCGAACCAGGCGTTGGCCAAATATTCTGTTTGGAACAAAGAATATCTCGATTAGTTTTGATTGCTAAAAACTACCGTTATGCGAAAAAGTCATAATACCAGTGAATTGGGTAATTACCAAGGAAAATAAGTCAGCATTTTTCGATATGAATATTCTGAAGAAGATCGCTTCGTTAAAGGAGCTCTGTTGAACTGCATCAAATTTGTCATATCAGGAAAATGCTGACTTATTCCCTTTGGTTATTGAAAAAAATTCACCAGTCGTAAACCTACCTGAAAACTAATTAGTTCTCCGCCTATCGCTGGTTCCTGCTGTTTGTTGGTGACACCACTGCTCGCACCCCCTGGGGACTGCTGCTGCTGTTGTTGTTGTTGTTGTTGTTGTTGCTGCTGCTGCTGAGAAAGTGAGTTTGGTGTTGAGGCTCCTGTTGCACTGCCATTGGAGCCCACATTCAGGGGAAGCCCAAGGAAATCGGGAGCATCAACAATGTAGAACTTGTCTTTGAGCTCGCCACCAGGTGTGCCTCCCACAGTGCCCTGCTGTTGTTGTTGTTGTTGTTGTGCCGCGGGCTGTTGTTGCTGCGGCTGAGGTTGCTGCTGCATGCTGACACCGGCAAATCCAATATTAGCCCATGGCGGCTCGTTTGATTGTTGCTGTAACGCATATTGCTGCTGTTGCTGATGCTGTTGTTGCAATTGTTGTTGTTGTTGTTGTTGTTGTTGGTGCTGCAATGGCGATTGCTGTGGTTGTGGTGATTGCAAGCGTCCACGTTGTGGTGAGTGTGATGGCTGGTGGTGTTGTTGTTGCAGCTGTTGAGTAGGAGTGGCGTGATGTGGCGAACGCTGTTGATTGTGGCGATGCTGCTGCTGCTGCTGCTGCTGTTGTTGTTGTTGTTGTTGTTGCTGCTGCTGCAGTTGGTGCTGGTGATGCAACATCTGTTGATGATGATGCAACTGTTGTTGTGTGGCAGGCATGTGATGTGGCGATGTAAAATGTGGCTGTGCCTGCTGCGGATGTGGTTGATGCGGACTTTGTGGTGTATGGCTGCGCAGATGTTGCTGCTGCTGTTGTTGTGCTACAGCTGCTGAGGCGGCAGCTTGTTGTTGTTGATGGTGTTGTTGTTGATACTGGTTGATTAGTTGATGCTGTTGGTAAGCGCTAGCGCTGCTAGAACCTGCAGACGCAGCATGATTTGGATCAAATCGAAACTCTGGTCCGCCCGTTATGTTACTAACGCCACTGGCCCCGGAAGGTGGACCGAAACTATTCAGACGCGACAGAATATTACTACCGGGTACATTGCTGTTGCCACCGACGCCAACGCCAATTCCGACACTGCCGCTACTCACATTACCATCCGGTGTGGTATTTCTGGGTGTATTAGGCGTACGACGTTGATGTTGCTGCTGTGCTGGTGGCGGCGTTGGTCTTTGCTGTTGAAGTTGCTGAATTTGTTGTTGTTGTGCGTGATGAGCCGCTGCTGCAACAGCTGGATTACAATGTTGAGGCTGTGGCTGAGACAATGTTGGCTGCGGTTGTTGTTGTTGTTGCTGTGCTTGATGTCCGACCAACTTTTCGGCGTTGAAACTTTGAGTGTACATGGAATTTTGTTGAGATTCATTGGTTGACAGCGAATGCTGTGATGCCGATGCTGACGCAGTTGAAGATTGGGAACTGCTATTGCTAATCATTGAAGCATTAAACGAATCCTGCTGTAATGTGCCTGGTGTGGTTGATAATGGCGGAGGTGTGGATACGCTACTCACACCTCTTTGTAGCTGCTGCTGTGGCGGATTCTGTTGGTTCGCCTGTTGCTGCTGCTTTGTTTTGCTCGCGTTGGATTTTTTCGCAATTTTAGCGGGTGGAGGGCCCGGCATGTCTGGCGTTGGTGTCATTTCTGTCAAAGAAAGGGGTTTAAAGAATTCAGGAATTACAACTCAATCAATAGTCTCTTGTTTACACTTTTTCTACTAAGGCAATCTGTATGTAACAGAATCTTGTTCAACTTCAAGATGCATGATTAAATTGCTACGTATCAAGGGCTCATAACAACAAGATACCTTCTAGGTGATGCTATAGTAGAGATATCTATAAAAATCCGGATCTGCTCGGAATAGGAACAGATACCGTAATACAGAATACTGTTTCTGTAAACAGACAAGCTAGGTAGCGTAGGACATTTGTAATCTGGTTATTGTTGTTGAAGCGGTACTACTAAGCCCCGCCTAAAACGTTGTCGTCAAGCTCAACTTTCGGTAAGTCCAGAAAACGTGGTTTTTGGAAGGGATTGCACCAGAGAGAGAAGCTTTCAATGGGCAGGTGAAGAGGGGATTGGTGTCGTGGGTGGAATCTCCACAAGCGGGACATGTGTTTGGAATTTGGGGGTCGACTTTGGATAAATGCAAGTTCAGACGATTGCAATATGCATGTTACCTTAACTTTTTTGGGAAAACACCATTAAAGTTTTATCAATTCTCACAGTTTGTATATAAAAAATGCAGTTTGAAAGACAAATATCTTCGCCATTTTTGGAAATTTAAGTTATCCGTTATAATGAACATATTCTCCTTTTCAAGCTTATTAATTGTATTTTGAAATTTCCAAAAACGTAAATTTTGAACTACTTCTCTATAAAGTACGCATGCGCCAAACATTTTGTTGAATGTACCAATAGTTAGAGCAACGAATTGATGTGAAATTTCATGGCATTGCATGACTTCACTGGTTTCTCGAAGGTCAAACCATAAATCCCACATTGCTATCTTCACGTTCTTTCTCAACTCACTCCATGAAAGAATCTTCTTGGGGAGGTTTATGAGTAGCCAGCATCTCTTTAATTAAATACCACTACTCTGTACATATCATCTCTGGGGAACAGCACTAGTGGTAACTGGGAGCCTAGCTTGTCCCTATTGCTGGATGATAGCAAGTTTAAGAGCGTTCGTTTTGCCACCTGTTCCATTGTAATATGCAGTGGCTAAAGTTCAAGGACTACTTCCAGTGCTGCCGCTAGACACTTGCACACCATCAGCGCTCTCGTAGCCTTGGAAGTGACCGCCTCAACATGAGTCCTCCACAGCAGTTTTGAATCCAGGATAATACCCAGATACTTAGCTTCTGTGACGACATTGAACGTGAACCCATCCAAGGCTGGGTTTCTCATCCCCTCTAGAGCTCTTTTCCTGGTTAAGGGGACAATGGCTATCTTAGAGGGTTTAATATTATTTATTTTGCTTTGCTAATAAATTACGAGTATTTAATTCTTTTTTAACAATTTTTTTTATAGGTAAACTAACCTTCATCCTTGGCGAAACGTCTTACTTTCTTCGGCGATGGTTGATTACCATGAACGGTTTGCTTATGGCGCACCAAATGAGTTTTCCACTTGAAGGTCTACGGAAAAATTCATATCAAACGCTAGTTATGAAATTTCAAAGGTTGCTCTCTTGCATAACTGACCTGATCACAGTAACAACAGCAGTGCGGCCTCTCCTCTGAATGTGATGGCAAGTGTCGCTGAAGTGATTTCACCGAGCCGAAACGTTTACCGCATAAAGTACATTTACACTCCGATGCATCGGTGTGGGCATTGCTGTGGTGATCCTTTAGTGCTGGATATGTAAAATAAGATGAACCGCATATATCACAAACGTAAGTTCGTTTCACTTCCGTGTGCAGCTGTACATGGCGCTCCAAGTTCGCCTTCAAAGTAAAGCGATTCTGACAAATGTGGCACTCGAAAAAGTTGTCTTTTTTGTGGACACGTATTATATGCTGATAGAGGGCATTCTTCGAAGGGAAATCCGCCCCGCAAACCTCACAAATAGCACCGTCTGCCTTGTGGCCGGTTGTATCCAAGTGTTGCTGATGCAGTTTCTTGTGAGGAAACTTCTGGGCACATTCGATGCAAGAATAGGCTAAAGGTAAATATAATAGAAAAAATTATTATATTAGCATGACGTAAAAGTTTGTTGCATAAACTTCAAACTTAAATTATTAATTAAATCCAAAAGAGATGAATGAAGTACACATGTTGGTTAATAAATTCATGAATTATGGAAATTTACACTTATTTTACGCTTAAGGTACTCTACAGTCAAGTTTGAGTTAGTTTTTCGAGAATTATCGGGCACTCACACTCACACTCACTTTTGAACTCTTTCTTGCTGTGAGATTCAACATGGGCATGGAATTGTTGACGACGTGAATAAGATTCGCCACATGTGTCACAAACGAAGGGAAACTCCTTGGCATGTATGGTACGATTGTGATGAATAATTTCCTAGAAAATAAAAGATCGTTTTTGATTGCCAAACATGTATGTATGTATATGTATAGCAGGTATTCAGTTACTTACCTCCAGCGATGTACCATTCGGTTGTCCACAATCATGGCAGAAACCCGGATGAATCTTATAGTGGTCCAACAGTGATTTGCGTTTACGATACGACTTGGGGCACTGCAAGCACTGATAGCTAGGCTTCGCCTTCTTTATACCAGCACCGGCAACACCTGCTCCACCTACCCCCAAACTAATAGGTGGTGCTTGCAGCGAAGTACTGCTGCTACTACCGCCATCAATAAGCTGCTGCTTCGATTCTATATCGTCCAAATCATGCTCGTCCATATCATCATCATCATCGTCGTGTGACAAATCATTCTCATCCAAACCTAATGAAACATTTAATGAGTTCGACGAAATTGAACCCGAAGTGGATGCGGTTGCGGAAACACCAGCCATTACACTGGTTGGTGTTACGCATGCAGAGAGCGCACTATTCATGGCCATAGAGGTACCCGCTGTTACTGCTGGCGGAGTAGTTGCGGCACAACCGGAAGATGTACTGGCGATTTGTTCTTGCTGCTGTTGTAATTGTAGGTGTTGCTGATGTTGCAGTGCGTTCGAATGCTGTGAATGCGCATGTAACATTGGCATAGTGCGTTGTAAATGTTGCTGTTGCTGCAATTGCACGTGTGCCGACAGTGCAGCTTGCTGTGAACCCTGCTCCTGCAGTGTAGGCGAGTGCGTTAGTAGCTCTGAATGGAAATTTTGCTGTGAGTGCTTTTGTTGTGCCACACCGGTCAAATTGCTACCCTCGAGTATGTTGTCAATACTGTTTATGAATACAGCGGTTGCCGAGTTCTGCTGCTGCATACGCTGCTGCTGCAGTTGCAATTGCTCTTGCTGTTGCTGCTGCAACTGTTGTTGAGCGTTCTCAGCCATGCCACCCAATAATGTTAAGGGATGTGTGTGTAGCTGCTGCTGCTGTTGCGGAGCATCTCGCTTTTGATTATGCAATATTAGCCTCTGTTGCTCTAGTTGTTGTTGTTGCTGGTGAGCAAGAAAGTGTGCCTGATTCGCCCTCGACACATTGTTGTGGAGACTTTCGGATATTGGCTTTATTATCGAAGCATCCCCGCCAGCGTCACCAACACTGCCACTACTATTACTACTGTTATTTATTCCTGCCAAAAGCATCGGGCCATTTTTGCTGCCGTGGGTGTTAATGGTGATACTGCTATTGTTGCCATTATCCAATGTCGGCATCCCGGCTGCACTTGTCATACTTTCACGGGCTACATCGTTAAATGCCGGAAAAGCTAGGGAGCTCGGAAGCTGCTGATCAGTTTGCTCTTGCAAATATTGCTTGGAAAAGTTTTGGTGGTGTTGATGTTGTGATAGGCGACCTCGCGGTTCGTTTTGTAAACTGATGCTTTGCAACTGTTGCTGTTTTTGCTCCTTAGGAGCCAAACTTGGAAGATCACCAACAATATTTGCTAATTGCTGACTGTTATAGCTAAGGTTACTTAAATTATTGCTTGCTGTAAGGCCATTTATCACAAGGCTATTGTTTCTGCAATGAAATTGAAAATTCAATGAATTGTGGAACAAAAATAAAAATATTAATGTGCCTAGGTCGCGCCATGATTCACTTATTATAATTATTGAATCATGGGCCGCACTACGGAAGTGAAACTTCTCTCGATTCATTTCTTCTTCGATCCATACCGTATAAATTTTGTAATTTACGTTCTGATTTAGCTATGTATGATTATTGGGAATATTTTATTAATTTCAGGTTATATGAATTGGTAATAGATAGGTAAGAGTATTTTTTTTTGATGATACATACAAACTCTCGGCACAAAATTACAAAATACTAACCTAATATTTTATTCATATTCCACAAAATATATATGTAATAGCTTTATGGCAACTGTAATGTGAAATTCTGCAAATACCTGTGGTCTTTACTTCTATTATTAGCTGATATATTCGGCTCTACAGATACATACAATTACCATTGAAATTTTTTCGGTTTCCCATAACACAATGAGCGCATTAACAAGCCATAGATGTGCCTGTTCTTATTCTTAGTCTTAACCTCAATTCTAATCTTATCCTTAAACCGGTGCGTTGCAATAAAACACTCTCAATACAAATATAGGCGGCGAGAAAGAAAGAAGAAAGAGAGATGCACTTCCCCTGCATCAGAAGTGTCAATTTTTTCGTGACGATTCACAACCGCCAGTAAAGAAGTTTCATTTCAATAACGGAATTAAAAAATAAATTACCCTTGTTGCTGCTGTTGGTTATGTTGTAAATGGTTGCTGATACCACCCAAACTTGTACTTCCTATGCTCTCACCACCCACTAAAGAAGCTGTGTTCGTATTGTTTGTAGTTGTCGCCATTGTCAACACACTTTCAGGTGTTGTAGCAACCAGTGTTCGCAAATCTATGCCAGCCACGCCATTGCTACTATTGCTATGGCCACTACCGCTGGCACTGCTGCCGCCGCCTAAAGCATCTTCGATATCCGGCTCGATTTCCATGCCATGCATCAGACGTCCAGCGCCTACACCCTCGTCAATGATCTCCTCGAATTTCAAGATATCTTGTGCAGCTACTGACGATGACATTTGCGACTCAGATTCGGACTCCTGCTCCGAATCGAAGCTGATCGCTGGCAAAAGACGCCGTCTCTGTGCATTCGCCACAGCTGCAGCAGCGGCTGCGGCCAATTTACGCTGATGAAGTTGTTGCCACTCTTCCCGACGTTGCTCGCGCAGAGCTTGTAGCACATGAGGTGGAGGCCTCGTCCCCATCAATTGACCGGAGGCAATAAAATTCTTATAGAATTTCTTTAAAAAGGGCTTATGCTCTTCACATAGTGCGGTTTGTAGACGAAAACGAAAGAGCTTCTTGTAGGCTCGCACACTAAATTCACCCGTACTGTGATGATAGTGTATGGTCCACTCATTGTCCGGGTAGAAAAAGTAGTCATCTTCGGTTTTCGCAAGCCGAATACCTCGCACTCCACTGCTAGGCACGAGCTCTTCGCTAAGCAATCTCGTAAAATGATTGTGGTTATTGTTTCTGCTATGAAGACGCGATAAGCTTTTCGCTTGATCACATACCGCTAGTACATCCCAACTGTTATTGCTGTCGTCACTACCAAGACGTGCACTGGCCCCTTCACTGCCGCCGCCGAAAATTGTTTGCGGGTAGGAGGTGCGATATTTTGCTTTCGTCAGGTGTCGCGTATCGATAATGGACGAGGGTATTAGATCCAGCGGATCTCGTTTGTTAACGCACACGCTGTTGTAGTGCAAGGGTCTATTATTGGAAGACGGATTCTCTGCGTCGGCGTCATTCGCTTCAGTATTAGCGGCAATTTCAGCATCATCGTCCGCATCTTCGTCGTCCTCATCGAGGCACATGAGCTCCTCTTTGCAAAGGATCTTCTCGAAATTCTGATTCAGATCGGTGGAGCCTTCATCCTCCGTTTTAATCTCTTCCTTTTTGGCAGTGAGCAATAGCTGCAGCTGCAATTGTTTCTTTTGAGCCGATTTTGTAGAACTGGCAAACTCATCGGTGAAATGCGGGAAAACAGATCTCGCCACCCGTTCACAAGACTCAGGGTACTTGCATTTCAGCGTACGCAAAAGATAGTGCAGAGCATCGCATCGGGATGCTGTGTCGAGACTGTCGAGCAGATTTAACGACTGCCCTACCTGTAATTGAAAAAAGGTGGTAAATGTTGTTAATTATATTTAATTGTTTGCGGTATGTATGTATGCTAAGTATATGTAACGAGTCGAATATTTATGTACTCGAATAGAAGTTAGCTACAAACTGTGTGCTCCAACTTTAATTTAGATCTTGACTAATGAATAATTAGTCACGACTTTAGAATTTGTATGGACGCGCACAGAGTAAAAGTTCTCCACCGCCGCTGGTCTATATCAATCATGCTCAGGGATAGAAGGCATGATTGGCCTACCGTCTACCGCCGAGTGGAGAAAATCAAACAAATATTGGTGCCAAACTATATTTACCGGTTACACTGAGTGCGAAACGGTTAAAAGGCGGCGGATAGAAGAAAATATAGCCTGTTTAAAATCTTGAAGGGCTTGTAAGCGGATTAAAAAGGAAAATTATAAATAATCGATAGAACGATGATAATCCTCAATTTCAAGAATAAACTCTGGCAAATGTGTTATGGGTTATAAATGGGTTAAGTATGACATTCTGTATAAAATTTACAAATATCCGTAATGAGGAACCCTTTAAAAATTAAAAGGGACAAACGCTAAATAAATCAGGCATTTGTTATGACCACCTAAAAACCTATAAAAAAGGCAAAATCAAATAACGAAATAGGCTAGAAAAGGCAAAATAAAGTAGCGAAATAGGCACTAGGAATTGCAAAATTGCATTTGATTTCCATAAAATCCGTTCCCTGGTTATGAAAATCTTTAGAAATTTTGCTTTTTTCGGTCAGTAACAGTGTGCATTTTCAAAATACTGTCAAGTCAAATGGCGGCCGCTGTGGGGTAGTCGTTAGCAGTGCACGCTACTATTTCGCAGTGCCCAGTCTCCCAAAATAAAACATAAAAAAGTTTTTTCTTATAGCGGTCGCCCCTCGGCAGGCAATGGCAAACCTCAGAGGGTATTTCTGCCATAAAAAATAGCTTCTCATAAAAACACAATCGCCGTTCGGGGTCGAGGTAAAACTGTACGCCCCCCCTCCCCTTTGTGTGACAACATCAAGGCGCACGCCACAAATCGGAGGAGAAGCTCGGCCAAACACTAACATATTGTGTTAGCGCCAATCTATTATTATTGTGTGTTATTAAAGTCAAACTAATTTTCCAAATTTAATCAATTTAGTATACGAAAAGCAACCAAAATAATAAAAAAAAATGCCCGCATGAGAAACACACAGGTATTTGATAAGTATGTAAATAACTCTGCGCATATACATACATACGTACATACATATACATGTGTTTAATACCAAATACATAGTAAGTAGTAGTTGTAAATACAGCGCCATCGCAAAAATTAAAATGAGTACATATGTATGTATGTATATGCATAAATTCGTACTATGTGTGCATGTACATAGATATTTGTTTGTTTGTAAGCATTGTTGCTGCTTATGTGCCTTTACTAACATCCATCCATAAATACTAAGGCTGAGTAAATGAATGTAAAGCACGATAATCAAGTTCTAGTCGTATTTATTTTGCCTCTTTTAGTGCTGCTCTAGCCAATGTACATGCATGCATTCATACATATTTATGTACATATATGTATGTATGTACATATGTATGTATGTATGTTATGGATGTATGATTTGCTTGTTTGCAACTCCTAGCTTGCGTCAAGCTTTTTAGCTAATACGTTTCTACTCTTTTCTGCTTTCCACTTCTGCAACGTCTGCTTTACCAGAAAATTCCACCACCTACCACACTATTCACCCACGTTGTTGGCTCTGGTCCCAACGAGACTCAAGAGGGATATTATGTTTAAAAAATGCATAGAACGAACTGTATTTGCAACAGATATGTAGATACATATGTAAATGCTAAGTAAGAGTATACAAGTTTAATTATTACCTCATAATGTTTAGTATAGCTATAGATATAGACATAGATAGATACGTATATATATATAGATTCTATACTATAATAAAACTGTAATTTGTTTGTCTGATTGAACTCACTTATCTCCGGAACTGCTGAATGGATTTTCATGGGGCTTTAAATGGTATATAGGGAGTGACCTCGGACGTAAACTAGGGTACAAAAAAAAAAAGAGATCTGAAAAGGGGGCGTGGCACCTCCCATAGGCGTGAAATTTTTAATAAGCAATAACTTCGGAACCGTAAATCAAATGAATTTAAAATGTAGTGTGAAGACAGATCTATGGTAGATGTTTAAAAGAAAGTATCCATATATGTAAATAAGTTTGCAAAAGGGGGCGTGAAACATATTTAAGGCGTGAAATTTCTTCGAAATCAAGTGTGAAGACATAACTAAATAAGGTGCATATAGCGAGGTTAACATAAGTGAGTTTGTATACGTGGCCGCGGTACATTCCATAGCCGTGAAATCTCACATTTGCTATATCTTCGGACCCCTAACTCACATGACACTGAAATTTGGTGAGAAGATCTATGGTAAATGTATATAAATGAGTTTGTACAAGAGGGCGTGGCACCTCCAATAGATGTGTACGTCCTCATAATTCGAGAAGAGATTAAAATTACGTTGGAAACAAATTGGAAGTACACAATTTCTGAGCCACATTTTGAAACACTCAGGATATTTCTATTTTGGATCTATTGACTTAAACAACAAAACCCCCAAATGTTCATTATCCTTCTGCAAATTCATTTTCTCATTAACAAAGAGTGGTTAGAGTTCATAATACTCAAGAACAGCATTGCTACTTAGGCCACAATTCACTGCAACCAAGTGAATGCGTGCATAAAAAAAACTAATAATATTTAGAGAAAATACATAACATTTTTAAAGATGTTTAGACTTTAGTTGCTTTTTTTTTACAAAAACGATAAATCAAAAGCAAGCTTAGCTAAAATATAAATTCATACATATGTCTGCACATACCATGCATAAGCACTATGTACAAATGGTAAATATGTACATACATGCATATGTACATATGTAAATACATACTATGCAAATGCATAAATATTTGTATTTCGTACGTACTTACTTACTACGAATGTTATTTATTTTTATGAGCTCCTTTCGCATGGTGTGTTGCCATAAGAAATCACATTTAAATATTGTACTTATGTAAAGAATTTACGAGCTATGCACTAAAATACATTTTCTTATACAAGTTTTGTGCACAAACAGCAAAAATAAATGTGCATACATATCTACAAATTATGTGCAGTTGTGTCTACGTACACTGAAGAGAAATCACGTCTGTCAAGTTAGCACTACACTTCTCGAAATTGCAAAAGTAAACTATGGCATTAATTGTAGCTTTTTTTGTTGTAAATTTGTTGAGGAAAGAAGAGATTTGTAGCTTTCGTTTTTTTAGTGTATGGTGTCAAGTTAGCACTACAAACCATTTTTTTCTTAAAGAACGAAAGCTACACATTTTTCTTTCCATAACAAAAAAACTACAATTTATTCCATTGTAACCTGTTTAATATCTCAATTACGATATTTTTAAAAAAAATGAGAGCTACAAATTTTTTCTTCCCACAACAAAAAAGCTACAATTAATTGCATAGTTAACTTTTCCAATTTCGAAAAGTGTAGTGCTAACTTGAGAGACGTAGAGAAATCTACTCTTTTCGGACCAGAGCAATTCCAGTGAATTTAGAACCATTATCGCCATTAATAAAATTTAATCAATATGAAGAATACACATCGCCCATTAGAAGCTTCAGCTCTATTATCCTCGCGAGGTGACTGAAATCTGCGATAACTTTTGGGTTTTAAATTAGGCACTGTACAATCTTGGAAACAGATGCTGCTAATCGCCTGAATCAGTATTATATTTTACTTACATGAAATTTCCTTGCAGGGTATTCATGTACCAAAGGTACCTTTTACTATGTACAATCATACTATGGCATATTACTTACTTTACAGCCTCTAACAAATAACTAGAAACACTGCCGTAAGAAAAAATTGAATATTTTCTACGTTAGAATGATTCTTCGTCTTTGCTGAGGGCGTTGGCTTACGTTACCGCCGAATGCACAGGCGAAAGGCTACTTAAAAAAAGCTAAAGCTTTTTGAAAATTTAAAATTATTTTGATAAAATTTTGTTTAAAAATGTCCAATGATTAATGGGGACTAATCCCAAAGTTTACGCTAACTAATAAATAATAATAATTAAAACTTTGAGTGAAGAAAAATAAAAAACTAGTGCATTAACGAAGTTTGCTGTTATTTGATGGAAAATTGGTATATATGTATTCATGTATGGGCAAGAAGTGCTTAACCCTGGAGAAGTCGCGTATTCGCCAACTACTTACATATGTACATATGTATATTGAAAACATTTTTTTTCAACTAACATTATTTCAACTCTGTTTGAAATTATTTTAAATGTAAGGATTAAACGCAAACTAGAGGAAAAAGTGACACTCATTAAAGATTTAGAAAACAACGCTTGACTTTTGTATGGTTTAATAAGTACCTACCTACCATTTTTTTGCTATGGCTAGCAAAATACTCATAGCGCTAGCACTGTAGGGTTAATAAAAGAAATAAAAGAACATTGCGGACCATAACAAACCATTAAAACAGGGACCGAAAATAATCGTTAAATATCAAAATTTTTATTTTGACATCATCGCAAAATCGTTATTTAAAGATTTTCGAACAAGGCATTTGTTAAAATGGATTTTTTTTCGGTAAAATTTTATCTTTATTTTATTACTTATTTTTTCGAAAAAAATGGTTATTTAAATTTTAATATTTTTTTCAATAATTTAATTTAAAAAAACAACAGTTATATGATTGAAAAAATTAATATTAAATATATCGATCGAAAGTCGATCGAAAAAATAGCGAAAAAATCAAATCATAAAATAACGGTTAAAATTCGTCGCAAAAAGTTTAAATCCAGTTTTAACGGTTAAATTATGATGTTTTTATAAATATCAAAACCCTTCCGGTCCCTGTACTAACAGTATCCTAATTGGCAGGTATATGTATGTATGTACTAGGTATCT